GGAAAAGCCCCCCCCCCCCCCCCCCCCCCTCCCCATACCCCTGCAGCAGGTCTGACCTGACACTAATAAAGTTCCTGTGTCTGTAGGAGCCAGGCTGCTGGACCGGTTCAGTCAGGACCAGTTCACAGGGTTCACACGGAGAATGTACCCACACTGTTTGTCTTCTTTTAATAGCTCTGCCCCCCCCCCCCCCCCCCCCACACACACACACACACACACACACACACACACACACCTGAACCATCTCAGTGTTTCATCCTCGGTTCTTGTACTGCTTCTTCACCGGGTCGTCACTGTGGATGAGAACCGATTCACCGCTGACCCACCCGACGTCATGAAGGTTAAATAAATACGTTTAAATAACTGGGAGACGGTGAACTTTGACCCTAACCTGAAACCGTGGCTACTGTGTTTATATTTGGATATATATTTGTTGATATACATGCAGGATTGTCTCGTTGTTTCAAAGCTGTATTTAGTGATGACATCACATCCTCTCTGTGCAGGAACAGACTGGAGCACAGACAGGACCACATGTGACCACTAGGTGGCCCAGCAGGGATAAGTGAGGAATGTGTGTAAATATGTGTCGTAATACTCTTAGCTGCAGGAACGTGTGTGGGGGAGGGAAGGTGGGGGGGGTGAAGTATTGTACAAGTCCTCACTTCACTGCCATGGTCACATGGTCACATGGTCACATGGTGTGAAGAGTGTGTGTCAGTGTTTCACACAGGAAGTCCTCCAGTCTGTTTCTCTGCTCAGGAAAAAACATGAACAGAAATGAATTGATTGTCGTAACGAGTCCATGTGGTCAGCAGGTGGCGCCGGCCTCACAGGTGCTGGACGTTAAGGCTCCTCCTGAGGCTCAGTGCTCAGCAGGGTCTCCATTAAGATGACCAGTGTGACTGAAGGCCTTGGTGCTCCGGGTCTGACTGGAGTCCGGTTCGTCCTCTGAGCTGCTCTCCACGTCGCTGCGGTCGTCTTTGGACACCTGCGAGGAAAGACAACGTCAACGCCTGTGATGACCAACAAGCTTACGCTAACGTTAGCGCTGTGAAGAGCCTGTAGAAACAGACCGCACCGACCTTTCCCTTAAATATTGCTTTGATGGCGATCCGGGCGATGAGGTAGAACCAGATGACGTGAAGAGTCTGCAGAACCAACAAGAGGCCGTTGAACAACCACCAGGCCTGGTACGGCCCCACGATCTCCCAGCTCTGGATCAGAACACTGTGGATGATCCTACAGGAACCACAGACAAACAGAACCGGCTGACGTCAGACTGTGGTCCAACACGTGGGACACACTCATCCACAGCAGATTATACATTTGAAGGCCTGTGTTTGGACAGACTTCTAGAATCTTTAACCCTTTTGTTTCCTTCTTTCTTATATTCTATAATAGAACTACTGAAAAAGTGAAACGTCTCACCAGAAAGGATGGATGACGAGTCGGGTGATGAAGAACATGATGCTGAAGACGATGAAGAGACCGTCACACAGCCTCTGGTACTTGGCGTAGTTGGCCAACTTGGCCGCCTACAGAAACAAGTATCAACAACAACACGGGTTAATGGTTGTGACGGTGTCACATGACCGCGTCAACAGAAGGTCAAAGGTCCCGGCGGCCGCTCCCAGCATCGACCGTGTTGACGTTTTACCTCGAGGAAGATGTCGGAGGCGTCGTGCACGCACATGACCAGAGTGCCCGCCCGCAGCATGTTGTTGGCGTAGGAGAACGTGATGAGGACGATGGTGGCCAGGTGGTGGAGCAGCATGATCAGAAAATCCTACGACAGAGAAACTGAACTTCATGAAGCCTGAAGGTAAACTAGGCAACAGGTTTTCACTGTTCATACATGCCCCCCCGACGCCCCCCCTCCCCCACCAGACATCCTTGTACTGCAGTAGGGAGTGCTGGTACAACAGAGTTCTTTCAGTCCTTTTCTAACACTTCATCATTTTACAGCTGGAGCCAATCACAGCAGCCGTCAGGTGAGGGCGGGGCTCCACCCTGGACAGCTCCACCATCCATCACAGGGTCACCTGTAAACTTTCACACACACACACACACACACGTGTCGATCAGTGACATCATCTCACCTTCCGTTTGATGTCGGTGAACTGGGAGAACATCAGGGACCAATAAAAGGCCAGCTCAGCCACATAGAGGTTGTACTGCCCAGGACTCAGAGGCTGAAACAGGAAGTGAAATAATAAACATGTCAGTGGTGTGTAAGAGTCACAACAACGATCATAACAGCTGTATTCACTGAAGAACAAACGAACCTGGAGCGGATATTTGTGCCAACACTGTCTGAGGTCCCACAACCAGGGAGACTGGGGAGAGAGGGGGGGGGGGGGCAGTGGGTGAACTCTCTGGGTGTAACAACACTCATTAACGCCGACTTTGACGATTTCTCTGGACATATTTACACAGCATTAATAATTATTATGATTTAAATTAGTCACAAATAAAAACAGGTGAGAAACACTGACATCTACCTGCTGTTGTTGGTATGTCAGCTCCAGTGACAAACAGATCAAATCATATATTATTTTTTTATCTATTTTTATGGCTCCTCTGTGATGAACCACATTAACCAGATTAACCACATTAACCAGATTAACCAGATTAAAGTGTGCTGCAGGTGAGTAGACCTGAAACTCCACTGAGTTTGTCCTGGAGTTTCAGTCAACTCTAAAGGTTTTAATTTGCATTTGAAAGCAGCCGCAGACAGAACAGGTTTGATGACGACCAAGGTGTGTTACACGACTGTTTAATTTTTACATTAAACAGAAAAATGAAGGCATCAACAAGAATAAAATGTTGCCTCTTCATCTTCATCTTCCAGAAAAACTCACCGTCCACAGATGATTCATGGCGTAGGTGAAAATCCCCAGGTAAAATGTAAACCTCCACCTGAGGACAGAAGAACATGTTGCTGTATTGACGTCCTGTTAACTCCCTAACACACGTGTTCTCCTCCACAGTTCTACTGGGTTCTACAGGAACCTACATGCTCTCACAGAACTTGGTCAGCGTACTGGGCCTGTCCAGGTTGCGACGAAGACGAAACCACCTCTGTATTTTCCTGACGTCCCAGTCCAGCTGCTTGGACAGAGCCTCCAGTTTCCTGGTGTCTGGAGACTGAGGACAGAACCAGAACCAGAACCAGAGAGTTATGACAAATGACCACGGTTCCACAGAGCGTTCTGGTGACACCACAATAACAGCAGGTTTCCCTGTCCTGTCTTTACTGAACATATCATTTGTCCGTCTGCTGACGTGTGTGTGTGTGTGTGTGTGTGTGGACAGGAACACATGGTCAGGGACCAGAGGACAACAACAGAACTTCAGTACCGTTCTGGACTTGTACAGGTTCTCCAGGACGGCATTGGACTGAACTTGTCGAGGTGCTTCCTCCTGTATCTGAAGTATGTGTGCACAGGGCTTGGCCACCAGCCTGTACACACACACACACACAGGCAAAAAAGAGAGAGAGGGTGAGGGGGAGAGGGAGGGGGTGAGGTTGGGCAGAGACAGAGAGGACGTAAAGACTGGTTAAAAAAGTTAAAAAATGTACAGACAACTGCTACAGATGGACTGTGGACCAAGAAACTACCCACCAACGTACAGGTGTGTGTGTGTGTGTGTGGTGTGTGTGTGATCCTATGTTTGTGGGACATTTTTGTCAAAATAATGGGGACAGTGTCCCTACAAGGACAGTGTCACAGGTCCCTACTGAGTGAGCAGGTATTTCAAGAAATGTATGAGCTCTGTGTGAAGTGTGTGTGTGTGTGTGAAGTGTGTGTGTCAGAGAGAGAAACTCATCAGGGCAGTAAAAACAGAAGTTGTGGGGAATGTGGCACCTCGTCCAAACACAGCATGATGAGCTGTATATGAGACAAAGACGGGAGGACTGCAGTTGAAGAAACTGATGAGAGTCACAAGATGGTGTGTGTGTGTGTGTGTGTGTGTGAGAGGTTTGGACACTACAGCCATTAACTGACAACACACACTCATCTGTGGACACTGGACACTGATGAATGAATGGAGGCCCAGGTCCAGACCCCTGCCCTGACCTGGACCCTGCCCAGGTCCAGACCCCTGACATGGACCCTGGTCTGGTCCAGGTCTGGTCCCTCTGTGTGTAATTATCCTCAGCTCTCTTCTCCAACAGTGTTAGCCTGATGTTAGTATCAGCCAAAGGGCTGTTTGTCTTTGAGCCCGTGTGTGTGTGTGTGTGTGTGTGTGTGTGTGTGTGGTTTCAGAGGCAGGGCGCAGTGGATTAAAATAGTACAACGGTTTATATTTTCATGCTGACAATTTTGTTTCAAAAGTTCCACACCTCCCAGTTTGAGAACCTCTGGTTCAGAACCACGTGACCACAGACTTGTGGCTCTGCATTCACACGAACATACGGCAAACACAAAATAAAAAACAAAACCTTTAGAAATGAAATACCTCTCAAAGATTAGTCTCAAGATGAACACCACCACGGACATGGGCAGAGCGTACAGTATGTGCCCCGCTCGGGGATACTCCACCCCAGGTGGTGGATGCTCCAGGTCCGCCCATGACACGTTCTGTGGGAGCCAGAAACTCTCGCTCCAGAACCAGGCATAGAGGGAGGAAGTCATGGTTCGGCAACTGGTAACAAGCGTGAATTTGAAAAATAAAACGATTAAAAAAGTCGATCTAAAGTTGTTGAAAGTTTCAGTCGTCCATGAGTTGTTGAGTAAAAGCCTCGGCAGCGGTTAAATGAGAGTTACTCCACCCTCCTGCTCTCTCCTGGACTCCGACATCTGTCCTGCTCCTTTCTTTCTTGCGGACTTCACTGGACGGAACCACAGCCTGGCACTTAACAGGTGAAAACAGCGACACCTATCGCATTAATAGGGTTTAAAACTTTTGAACTTCGCACTCGTGCTCACAGCCGTCGTGTGTGCTGATCACAAGCGACTTTTCGACTAGTTATTTTACGTACGTCAGCTCGGAGAAAGTCGACAGTGGCGAGGTGTGTTTTCACAGCCGCTACAAAAAGAGAAGTTGTTTTTTTCACTCCTGTTTTGGAGGAGGAGTTTCCAGTCTCGTAGCAAAACAACACAGACACACACATAAACACACACTACTGTTGTTACACTCAAACTGGGTTTATTATCTTAAATTACCCATTACAGTAAAATATTTTTTTTAAATGTATTTTTATTGTATACAATTTTAGCAACCTGGACTTTGGGGACACGTATAGATGCGCAGCAGTACCACTGGAACTCGTTGGGGCGGTGTTGTGCAGTATATAGCTCGCTTGCACCCATTACAAAACACGGTGAAGAAGACGAGGGCCGAGTAACGACAGAAATGTTAGAACCAGGGAGGAGAAGTCTCCATCCACACGCTGCTCTGTGGTTCGTGTCCACACAGAGAGCAGTCCATTCTCCTGCTCTGTCTCTGGACCTCTGTCCGAGCAGCAACATTATCTCCACCTCCTCTACCGTCACCATGTTGGTTTGTGTCTGCGACACTGACATCAACCCGGAAAAGGAAACTGAACTCAACACAGCCCCTAGTGGATGGTACTGCTTCACGGCCACGTCAAATGTAAGACACACATCACTCTGTAGGGTATTAAATGTCCTGCTGAGGCAGATTTCCCTGGGTCGCATCAGAATGTCATATGGTGTGTACAATCATGTTTATTTTTTAATCATTATACAATCATTTTAGAATATTACTGATATTTCAAACCTGTTATCGCGCCATAATTAACTGCATTAGTAGTTCGGCAAAAGCTCGTTAGCTGTTAGCCAACTGTGACACCGGTTGAGAGACTAAAGATGTATTTAGTCGGTGTTCTTATAAATAAAACTTTGAATGATGTTAGAAACATTTGATGATTATACTTACATTTAATAAAATTAGAATTCCGAGAAGCAAAAAGTGCTAATTTAGGCCGTATCTCACCATTGCATAAATGGCTAACATTGCTAATTGAACCGACGACGTGACGCACTTCTCACAACAACAGTTCCTTCATATGTCTGTGCCTGAAGACATTTTTAAAATATATTTTAAAGGTTTTCTGACCTAATTATGGAAGAAATAAGTATCTGAAACCAGTTGATGTTGTTCTAGAATTTTATATTCTAGGGTAATGTTCTAGGGTCCTTTTGTAGGAGTCTCCGTCTGAAGTGTTTTTCCTGGTCAACAGCTAACTGACAGTACATTTAAGTATTTTATTGGCTAATTAAGTGAAAATATTAATACGTAAATTAATTAATGAATTAATTATTTAACTGCATCCATCATGTCAAACTATTGACATCAGTCAAAAAACTATTGTGCATTTCACCTTTTTTTATTCCTGTAATGAAATCCTCTTTCACTGCCTGTGCCCCCCGCGGGGCTGCCCCCCACATGTTGAGAAGTGCAGCTGTTGATTTTGAGATCAGTACCAAGTGTCCACAGATGAATCAGGCCAGCTCCCAGAACAAAAGCTCTCTGTGTCAGTGTCTGTTGGCAGCTTGTGTTCTGGGATGCTCCGCTTGGACACATGACCTGGTGTGGAGGGTCACTGGACCTCAGCCCCCGAACAGAAGGGGTTCTTTACCACAACGCTCATCAGATTTATTTTAGCTGTAGCACTGTAACCACACTCCAGGGATGTTTTCACTTCTACTGGTCTCAGACCAGCACCGCGGCAGCTGCCATACACAGTTGGTCAGACC